TCTGTATATACCCGCTTGTTTCTGCGTGGTGCACCGATATATATATATATATATATATATATATATAATATATATATATATATATATATATATATATATATATATATATATATATATATATATATGTCGTGCCGAATATGTAAAACTGGTCAATTAGCAAGAACTCATTTAAAATTAAGTCCTTTCTAAAATTTTCTCTTATACGTTTAAAGATATATTTTTTCATTAATGTTGATGTAAAAATTTATAATTTTGCTCCAAAAGGAACTTAGAAAACTTACTTAACCTTATTATAACAAGAACAATTTATTTTAGCCTAACCCAACTAAATATATTTTAGATTTGTTTACAATAATTTAATACTAAAGAAACATAGTGAAATATATTTTTTTCGTTTGGTTCAGAATGATTTTGGCGAAATTATTGCATACACAAATTTTCACTTGTCCTATATGGCAAGATGAACGTTGCTATTTAAGCCAAGATCGCAAGTTCTGCCTATTCGGCACGACATATGTATATAATATATATATATATATATATATATATATATATATATATATATATATATATATATATATATATATATATATATATATATATATGTGTGTGTGTGTGTGTGTGTGGTGTGTGTGTGTGTGTGTGTGTGTGTGTGTGTGTGTGTGTGTCGTGCTGAATTGGTAAAACTTTCAATTTGGGCTTAAATAGCAACGCTCTTCTTGCCGAATAAGGCAAGTGAAAATTTGTGTATGCAATAATCTCGCAAAAATCATTCTGAACCTAACGAAAAAATATATTTCATTGTGTTTGTTTATTATTAAATTATTGTAAGCTTATCTAAAATTTATTTAGTTGGATTAAGTTAAATTATATTGCGCTTGTTATAATAAGGTTAGGTAAGTTTTCTAAGGTTCTTTTGGTACAAAATTATTAATTTTTACATTAACATAAATGAAAAAAAATGATTTTAAACGTATAAGAGTTGTTGCTAATTAACCAGTTTTGCCTGTAAGGAACGGCATAAATATATGTATATACTCTCTAGCAGTAGTAGTAGTAGTAGTAGTGGCGGTGGTAGTAGTCATAGGAGTAGTATTAGTACATGGGCCAAGGCCCGGACACATGTGTCTGTGTCTTCACCTTCTGAAGACACTCCATCACTTGAAGAAGGTGGGTAGTGTTGAAGCAACATCACAACCTCACTCCCTCACCTGACCTCACTCCCTCACCTGACCTCACTCCCTCACCTGACCTCACTCCTCGCTCCATCACGATGCAGTGTAGGTATCAAGACGGAAGGAAGGTCAAGATATTTCACCGTCGGGTCAGAAAGGTCAATGTGTCATGGGTAGAAGGGGCCAGGTCGTGCTCAAAGGTCACCTTCTTCTCTTTATCCATTAATAAAGCCGAATTTTTCTTCTCTACTTTATTTATGGACTTCGATTTTGATTATTGTTTTAATTATGTATATATATATATATATATATATATATATATATATATATATATATATATATATATATATAAATATATATATATATATATATATATATATATATATATAATATATATATATATATATATATATATGTCGTGCCGAATAGGCAGAACTTGCGATCTTGGCTTAAATAGCAACGCTCATCTTGCCATATAGGACAAGTGAAAATTTGTGTATGCAATAATTTCGCCAAAATCATTCTGAACCTAACGAAAAAAAATATATTTCACTGTGTTTGTTTAGTATTAAATTACTGTAAACAAATCTAAAATATATTTAGTTGGGTTAGGCCAAAATAAATTGTTTTTGCTATAATAAGGTTAGGTAGTTTTCTAAGTTCCTTTTGGTGCAAAAATTATAAATTTGTACATCAACATTAATGAAAAAAAATTATATCCTTAAACGTATAAGAGAAAATTTTTAGAAAGGACTTAATTTTAAATGAGTTCTTGCTAATTGACCAGTTTTACATATTCGGCACGACTTATTTTATATATATATATTTATATATATAATATTATATATATATATATTTTATAATATATATTATATATATATATATTATATTGTGTGTGTGTTTATCTGATACCTTCGACAACCTTTATCCTCAGTTTATTTTGGTCATTTTTTGTTCTTGTAGATTAAATGTTATCAGTAATTAATATTATATTTTTGTCAGCTGATCGAGGGGAAAATCAGCTGGTTTTGTATACAGCAGTCAGCTGATGGAACCGAGAATCAGCTGTTTGTTTGCAGCAATCAGCTGATGGAGCTGAAGGGAGGAACAAAAATTGAGAGAGATGATAAGTAGGCAGGGGAAAGGAGTGAAAAGAATAGAAGATAGTTGGATGGATGTGTATAATGGGGAGAAAAAAGAATGTTTAAATATGTGAGACGTATACAGATTTATGTACATCTTGTAATAATGTTGGTAGAATTACCGACATATGTTAGATAAAAGGACACATGCGCATCTAATGCGACATTTTTACTGTGGCAACATTTCGCTCCAGGAGGTCATGTTCCTGGAGAGTGACACATTGCCACAATAAATATATCGCAGTTGCATTTGTGTCCTTTTATCTAACACATTATGGGTAATTCTGCCAACATATTACAACTTTAACAGAAGTGCAGCCCTTCTTAATTAAGTGTTTTGAGTAGTAGAAATGAGGAAAAACTTGGTTTAGGGGTTTATCGAGAGCCCAATAATAAAACGACCATCACTGGTGTGTTCCTGAGTGCTCGCATAATCTCTTCCTCTTACGGTGCACCGTGGCCTGGTGGCTAAAGCTCTCGCTTCACACGGCGAAAGTTCGGGTTCACTTCCCGGCAAGAGTAGAAACAGGGCGTGTTTTCTTACACCGTCAGTAAAATGGGTACCTGGGTGTTAGTGGACTGGTGTGGGTCGCATCCTGGGACAAAACTGACCTAATTTGCCTGAAATGGTCTGCATAACAAGCGGCTTTCTGTGTAGCAGTATGTCATTGATGTCAGATAGATCTGTATACCTTGTATATGTATTACCTGGAGTTTACCTGGAGAGAGTTTCGGGGGTCAACGCCCCCGCGGCCCGGTCTGTGACCAGGCCTCCTGGTGGATCAGCGCCTGATCAACCAGGCTGTTGCTGCTGGCTGCACGCAAACCAACGTACGAGCCACAGCCCGGCTGATCAGGAACTGACTTTAGGTGCTTGTCCAGTGCCAGCTTGAAGACTGCCAGGGGTCTGTTGGTAATCCCCCTTATGTGTGCTGGGGGGCCCAGTTGAACAGTCTCGGGCCCCCTGACACTTATTGTATGGTCTTTTAAACGTGCTAGTGACACCCCTGCTTTTCATTGGGGGGATGGTGCATCTTTCTGCCAAGTCTTTTGCTTTCGTAGTGAGTGATTTTCGTGTGCAAGTTCGGTACTAGTCCCTCTAGGATTTTCCAGGTGTATATAATCATGTATCTCTCCCTCCTGCGTTCCAGGGAATACAGGTTTAGAAACCTCAAGCGCTCCAATAATTGAGGTGTTTTATCTCCGTTATGCGCGCCGTGAAAGTTCTCTGTACATTTTCTAGGTCGGCAATTTCACCTGCCTTGAAAGGTGCTGTTAGAGTGCAGCAATATTCCAGCCTAGATAGAAAAAGTGCCTGAAGAGTGTCATCATGGGTTTGGCCTCCCTAGTTTTGAAGGTTCTCATTACCATCCTGTCATTTTTTAGCAGATGCGTTTGATACAATGTTATGGTCCTTGAAGGTGAGATCCTCCGACATAATCACTCCCAGGTCTTTGACGTTGGTGTTTCCCCTTATTTTGTGGCCGGGAATTTGTTTTGTACTCTGATGAAGATTTAATTTCCTCATGTTTACCATATCTGAGTAATTGAAATTTCTCATCGTTGAACTTCATATTGTTTTCTGCAGCCCACTAAAAGATTTGGTTGATGTCCGCCTGGAGCTTTGCAGTGTCTGCAATGGAAGACACTGTCATGCAGATTCGGGTGTCATCTGCAAAGGAAGACACGGTGCTGTGGCTGACATCCTTGTCTATGTCGGATATGTACTTGAAGAAAATAAAAGATATTATTATTATTATTTTTATTATTTTTATTATTATTATTATTATTATTATTATTATTATTTTTTATTATTATTACTAATTTTATTATTCCAATTCTCAGAGTCCATGGACTGATCACATCGACTCTAGGCTTTTGGGACTCAGTGGTGCCTGTGCTAACCTTCCTATGGTGTAGAAATATACCTAGTTGGATGAATCTTATTGTGGCTAGCTGGTCTAGTGGCTAACGCGACGGGCTGGAGTTTTGAGACTCTCTGACCGCGGGTTCAATCCCGGCCGGAGGTATGGTTTCTTTTGGGACTGATTACTCAGTCGTCCAATGCTCTTCTCTGTACTGGACTGAAGACGGGGCCGGATTAATAAGGGGGCAAAGGGGGGTACAATAATCTTCCTTTATGTAGAATGTTAGTGGTACAATAATCTCCCCTCATATACAGTATTAGTGGTACAATAATCTCCCTTTGCGTGCGGCAAACAGTAACAACCTGGTTGATCAGGCCCTGATCCACCATGAGGCCTGGTCACTGACCGGGTCGCGGGGGCGTTGACCCCCGAAACCTTCTCCAGGTATACTCTCATGTAGAGTACTAGTGGTACAGTAGTAGTGGAGTTGAGCGCCACTGGTGTTGAGAGTGGTGACTACTTTCAAGGAACCTCTCCTTGAAAGTGGTGGTGAGGGTCTCTTGATCCAAGGAATATGGTCTATGTCACGTGGGAGGGAACTTATCCTCCCAGGTGGTCCATGACCCCCACGGGTTGAGCGCTCCACCATGAGTAGTACTGATAGTGAGGGGGTAGTAGTGCCGTCTAGTGATGGTAGTGGTGGTGTAGTAGTGGCATCTAGTGGTGGTAGTCAGAGTTAGTCAGGTTATCAGTGATGGTGTTATAGTGAAGGTCAGGACAGTGACCAACCTCAAGGTCAGTAAAGGTCAGTTGAACTTCAGTGGTCGTACAGGAGAGACGTGTTGATCCTCCTGCCGCCCCGCCGGCTTTACCGCTTCCTCATCCTTTTAATACGCTTAAAAAACGTAAGTATTGTCTGGTGACGTATTTGTCAGTACAACAGCAGAGTTGGGCTGCAGCTCCTGGTCCCTAATTATTAATATTTTATTAGTCTTAATTTTCTTTGGGGTCTAATGTCTTAGAGGGGGGAGGGGGTGATTGACCTTAGTAGAGGGGTTTTGATGCGAGGAACTGGAGCTGCTCCCCTTCCTCTGATCAAACAATAACTCTCACACTAGGCGTTACATAACCCATAATTGTGTATCCAGTTCTGGGCTATTTTTTCCATTATTGAAAAATAACTTAGTGAAGGTCTCTTGATCCAAGGAATTTGCGCCTTGTGATCCAGATATAGACTTCTATGTAAACAAATTATTAGTCATCAGGTTTGTCAAAGAAATATTAAAGAAAAAGAAAGCTTTATTTACTTACTATGTTAAACATTAATGGGTATATCATTCAGACAGTAATGTTACTAGTTTATATTACATGGTAATGTTTACCTGTGTGTATAATGTTCATGGTTATAATGTGAATGTTTTATTTCAGGTGTGGTAACTGTGGAGTGCTGTGTCTGGCTGTGTCTGCTGCAACATTGATCAACACAGCAACATTGACCAGTCTGAGGGGTGCTGTGCCTGGCTGTGTCTGCTGCAACATTGATCAACACAGCAACATTGACCAGTCTGAGGGTTGGAGACAACCACACTAGCAAATGATCTGACCCATAACAGTTAGTGTTATATGGAGATGCAGCAGTTGGAGGCGTCGTTAGAGGTGGGCAGGGCCCACTTGTAAGGTATTTCCAGGTTATAAGTCCACTAAAGTTTGGTTATTGAAGCAGACAGTAATTGTATTAGGTGGGAGGACGGTGGGGAGAGTATAGGAAACATTGTAAGCAATTGATGTCAAAAGTAGCTTAGTGGGAGATATTAGCTTATCTCCCGACCAGAGATGAAATCTCTGGCCAGGAAATAATGAATGGGGTAGAAATAAAAATTAGAGAAATGGGTTGTAAAGCTTAGAATTTAAGACCGATTAGATTTTAAGAAGTTTTAGTTAGTGTAATATATTATTATGCAGTTTTAGACCCATCCTACAAGATTGTAGGAAGCAGAGATGAAATGTGTAAGTGATATATCATGGCTCAGTTGGTAGTGGCGTCAACTGAAGAACGGAGATTCGACCCCGGACACAAGTGGACATGTTCCCTTATATCCATTGGCACTGTTCACATAAGAAAGGAGGAACGCTGCAGCAGGCCAACTGGCCCTGAGCAGGCCTACTGGTAAGGGTCGCAACCTGGGCGAATATAAATACTCAAAAATGTCATGGTGGTAGGTAAGACTCATAGGCAGCAGTTAGGCAACTTTATTCCGAAACGTTCCGCCTACACAGTAGGCTCCTTCCATCGAGTACAGAAAGTAGGCAGGAGCAGCAGAGATGTGAAGACGGTGTAAGCAGTCCATCACTCATAAAGTTTTAGATATGAGGTAGTCAGTCCCTCAGCCTGGAGAAGTTGCATAGACTGACAACGTCAAATCTACTACTACAAGGTTGATGGACTGATTACATCGTCTTCACATCTCTGCTGCTCCTGCCTACCTTCTATATTCGTGGAAGGAGCCTACTGTGTAACCGAAACGTTTCGGAATAGTTACCTAACTGTTGCCCAAGTGTCTTGCCTACCATCCTGTCGGTACTGTATACCATTTCGATAAAAATGTCTTGGATATCATCCTGACTTAATTGTGAAATTTCTGTGCAAAATCTCCGGGTTAATAATTATATTTTTGTTTGGGTGGTGGATAAGGGTGCTCTTGATGGGGGTGTAAGGAAAGCCATTTTAAACATAAGAAAGGAGCATTTTAAGTAGGCCTTTTGGCCAATTAGGGGCCCCCAACGTAAAACCACTCATTTGTCTAACCTTGCTTTACCCCTTGGGGGCTTGCGCTTTTTTTTTGATTATAATTTGTCAAACTTTTTTTAAAACGACGAAACCCCAAAGTTTTGTTCCCACATGACGGGATGGAATTTTCCTTTTAGGCAGGTAATATAGCGGGAAAAACCAATACAGTTACTCGAAATGTGGAATTAACCACATTTTCCCTATTTTCAGCAGTGTTGTGAGAGCCTGTCCAAGTAAGTTTATGGCCTTTAAATTTCCCAAAAATCTCCAGAGTTGTATTAGTGTGCTTGGGGGAAAGGGGGGGGGTTTGTTTTGAAACGGGTTATACAGTATATTTTAAAAATTTGTAGATCCCCGGGATCTTACCTGGACCCTTGATCTTATTTTAACTCCTTGATATTACCTAGACCCCTTTGATCTTACCTAGCCCCCCTTTGATTACCTGACCCCTTGATCTTACCTGGGACCCCCTTGACTTCCTAGGCCCTTGATCTTACCTAGACCCCTTGATCTTCCTAGACCCCTTGATTATTACCTAAACCCTTGATTTACCTAGACCCCTTGAACTTCCCTAGCCCCCCTTGATCTTACCTAGACCCCCTTGATATTAAACTGGGACCCCTTGATCTTACCTAGAACCCCCTTGATTTTAAACATAGACCCCCCTTGATTTTACCTAGACCCCCTTGATTTACCTAGACCCCCCTTGATCTTCCTAGGACCCCTTGATCTTACCAGACTCCCTTGATTCACCTAGACCCCCTTGTTTACTAGACCCCCTTGTTCTTACCTAGCCCGCTTGATTCTTCCTAGCCCCCTTTGATCTTACTAGACCCCCTTGATCTTACCTAGACACCCTTGATTTCACTTAGACCCCTTGATCTACACTTAGACCCCTTGTACTTACCTGAACCCCTTGTTTTCCTGGTACCCTTGATTTATAGACCCTTGATCGTTACTAGACCCCTTGATCTTACCTTGACTCCCTTGATCTCACTAGGACCACCTTGATCTTACATAGACCCCCTTGATTTACTAGACCCCATTGATCTTACCTAGCACCCCTTGATAGTACCTAGAACCCCCTTGATTTACTAGACCCCCTTGAATTACCTAGATCCCTTGATCTACCTAGACCCCCTTGATCCCCTTGATCTTACCTAGACCCCTTGATCGTACTAGACCTCCCTTGATCTACTTAGACCCTTGATCTTACTAGACCCCTTGATCTACTTAGACCCCTTATCATACGTACCCAAAACCCCTTCATCTAACCCCTTCATCTTACCTAGACAGCCTTGATCGTACCTAGACAGCCCTTGTCGTAACCTTAACCCCTTGATTTACCTAGACCCCCTTGATCTTACCTTGACCCCCCTTGATCTTATCTAGACCCTTGATCTTACCTAGATCCCTGATCTTACATAGACCTTGATCTTACCTAGACCCCGTGATCTTACCTAGACCCCTTGATCTTGCTAGACTTCCCTTCATTTACTAGACCCCCTTGATCGTACCTAGACCCCCTTGATCTTACCTAGACCCCTTGATCTTACAGACCCCCCTTGATCTTATCTAGATCCCTTGATCTTACCTAGATCCCCTGATCTTACATAGACCCCTTGATCTTACCTAGACCCCCGTTGATCTTACCTAGACCCCCTTGATCTTGCCTAGACTTCCCTTCATCTTACCTAGACCCCCTTGATCTTACCGAGACCTCCCTTGATCTTACCGAGACCTCACTTGATCTTACCGGACCCTCCCTTGATCTTACCGAGACCTCCCTTGATCTTACCGAGACCTCCCTTGATCTTACCGAGACCTCCCTTGATCTTACCGAGACCTCCCTTGATCTTACCGAGACCCCCCTTGATCTTACCGAGACCCCCTTGATCTTACCTAGACCCCCGTTGATCTTACCTAGACCCTCCTTGGTCTAACCTAGACCCCCTTGATCTTAGACCCTCTTGATCTTACCTAGACCCCCTTGATCTTACCTAGACCCTCCTTGATCTTACCTAGACCCCCTTGATCTTACCTAGACCTCCTTGATCTTACCTAGACCCCTTGATCTTACCTAGACCCCTTGATCTTACCTAGACCCTCTTCATCTTAACTAGACCCCCTTGAACGTATCTTTACCTCCCTCTCTCCAAGAGCCGCCACTGCTCTACAAATTAGTAAGGCCTATACCTAGAGTATGCTACATATTTGTGGTGTATTATATACACAACACTTTGTAGATCCACAATTATTTAGTTTCTACTATCAAAATAACTTATAGATTTAGGTGGTGTTACTTAGGATAGGGAAGGTATAAAACTGGAGAATCTGCTATATGCATTATGAATGCATATAGCAGGGGAGAGTAATCTCCCCTGAAGGCATAGATTACGTAGAACTGTGGGCCTTGGAACCCACCAACGACCTTCAGTAGCTGTCTGCAATCTGTTATTGCACATGGTTTCCGTGGGGATGTTGGTGGGTTTCGGGCTTTGGGTAGTGGTTGTGGTGGGTGTTCTACGTTTTTTATGCCTTTGGCCAAACTGTACAAAGTTAAATATTGATTCATTGAGTTTACACAATTTCATTATTTTGGAAAATTTAAGCGGCGTTCAGGTTCCTATGAATATAGTATTATGCATTCAGAATTGCAGTTGGTTTGATGGTTTGTAAGTAGTGAAGTCTAACGCTTTTGGCAGCAGACGTTAATGATGGAAATGAAATCCTCTGTGCTCTGAAGTGATGAATATAGTTAGAGGGGGTGATTTTGATTGGAAATTAGTAGAATAGGAATTAACCGCTGCTCAGTTGGGAAACCCCAGAAAAATAGGGGTAGAGTGGAGGCTTGAATGTAGTGGTCGTCAGGTTGTGCCCAGGATGCCCGCCATAAGTGGCAGGTAAGGTAGGTTATGAATTCAGGCTAGCATAGTAGTGTGTTAGGAAACTGGTATACGGCAGGCCTCCAACTTGTTACATCCTCCCATAGTGTTGGTTTTAACCTAGTGTGCATGAGAGACATAGAAGTTTGGGGAAAACCACAATGTTTTTAATAATCAAATACCTTCATGTTAAATTGGATGCCCTTCAAGGGGTATCTTTGTTCTAATTTACGTTACAGGGTAATGTTACCTGTGTGTTAATGTTTATGGTTATAATGTGAATGTTTTGTTTCAGGTGTGGTAACTGAGGAGTGCTGTGCCTCTGCAACATTGATCAACACAGCAAAATGGACCAGCTAAGGAGTGCTGTGCCAGTCTGCTGCAACATTAACCAGTCTGAGGGGGTGAAGACAACCACTAGTATATGGTCTTTTATATGGGGGATGCAGCAGTTAGAGACGTCGTTAGAGGTGGGCGGGGCCCACTTGTAAGGTATTTCCAGGTTATAAGTCCACTAAAGTTTGGTTATTGAAGCAGAAGTAATTGTTATTAGGTGGGAGGGTGGTGGGAGAGTATAGGAAACATTGTAAGCAATTGATGTCAAAAGTAGCTTAGGGGAGATATTAGCTTATCTCCCGACCAGAAAAGAAATCTCTGGCCGGGAATAATGAGGAATGTATTCTATAGGTTATTTTTGAAGGGTAGAAATAAAAATTAAGAAAGGGGTTGTAAAGCTTAAATTTTAAGACCGATTAATTTAAGAAGTTTTATTTTAGTGTAATATATTTATTATGCAGTCTAGACCCATCCCAAGATTGTAGGAAGCAGAGATGAAATGTGTAAGTGATATATCATGGCTCAGTTGTAGTGGCGTCAATTTGAAGAACGAGATTCGACCCGGACACAAGTGGACATGTTCCCTTTATCCATTGGCAACTGTTCACATAAAAAGGAGGAACGCTGCAGCAGCCTACTGGCCCTGAGCAGGCCTACTGGGAAGGGTCGCAACCTGGGCGAATATAAAACTCAAAAATGTCATGGTGGTAGGTAAGACTCATAGGCAGAGTTAGGCAACTTTATTCCGAAACGTTCCCCCTACACATAGGCTCCCTTTCCCTCGAGTACAGAAAGTAGGCAGGAGCAGCAGAGATGTGAAGACGGTGTAAGCAGTCTATCACCCATAAAGTTTTAGATTTTAGGGTTTTCAGTCCCTCAGCCTGGGGAAGTTGCATAGACTGACAACGTCAAATCTACTACTACAAGGTTGATGGACTGATTACATCGTCTTCACATCTCTGCTGCTCCTGCCTACTTTCTATACTCGATGGAAGGAGCCTACTGTGTAACCGAAACGTTTCGGAATAGTTACCTAACTGTTGCCCAAGTGTCTTGCCTACCATCCTGTCGGTACTGTATACCATTTCGATAAAAATGTCTTGGATATCATCCTGACTTAATTGTGTAATTCTGTGCTAATCTACCGGGTTAATAATTATACTTAGTTTAGTGTGGTGAGGATAATGGTAGACGTCTTGATGCCGGGGGTAAGGAAAGCCATTATTAAGACTAAGAAAGGAGCACTGAAGTAGGCCCATTGGCCATATTAGGCAGGTCCAACTGTCAACCACTCATTTGTCTAACCTTGCTGTATAGCCCTTTTGGCTTTGCGCTTCTTTTGATTATAAATTTTTCAAACCTATTTTTAAAACGACGCAACCAAAGTTTAGCTTCACATGACGGGGTGAAATTTTCCTTAGGCAGGATATATTATAGCCGGGAAAAAACAATAACAGTTACTCAGAATGTGGGAAATTAACCACATCTTCCTATTTTCAGCAGTGTTGTAGAGAGCCTGTCCAAGTAAGTTTATGGCGTTAAAGTCCCGAAAATACTCCAGAGTTTGTATTTGTGTGTCTTGGGGAAAGGGGGGGGGGTTTTTTTTGGAAACTGGTTTTACAGTATATTTTAAGACTTTTAGTTTCCCCTTGACCCAACTAACCCCCTTGCTTCCTAACCCCCTTGGTTTTTTATAACCCCCCTTTTTTAAGACCCCCTTTACTTCCCTAGAATTCTTGGCTAAAAAACCCCCCATATCTTACTAGATTGATTTACCAACCCCCTTTGAATTTAGAGACCCCTTTATTTACCCAAAAACCCCCCATTTTAGAGTTGTCAGAAAACCCCCTTATTTAAACCTAGACCCCCTTGATCTTCCCTAGATCCCTGGTCAAACTAGGACCCCCGTGATTTTAAGACCCTCTTGTTCTTACCTAAACCCCCATGATCTTACCTAGCCCCCCTTTGGGATCTTAACCTAAACCCCTGATCTTACTAACCCCTTGATCTTACCTAGACCCCCTTGATCTTACCTAACCCCCTTAATCTTACCTAGACCCCCTTGAATCTTACCTAGGACCCCCCCTTGATCTTACCTAGACCCCCTTACTTACCTAACCCCTTGATCTTACCTAACCCCCTTGACTTCCCTAGACCCCCCTTGATCTACCTGGGACCCCCTTAATCGTACCTAACCCCCTTGATCTTACCTATGGGACCCCCCTTGAAAACTTACCTAGACCCCCTTAAATCTACTACTACTTAGGATATTACTCCCACCTTGCTCTCCTGACCTACCCCTTATTTCTTACCTAGACCCTTGGATTTACCTAACTTTTCCCATGTGTTCGATACATCGTGGTACTGTAATACCACGAAAAGCCTTGGATATATACCTGAAATATGGAAGTGCTACTACAGGTTACTCTTATCTCTAGTTTATGTTGAACTAGACTCTTGATGCCTACGGGTGAAGGGTTATTAAGACCTGAATGGACACCAAGTAGGTATGATATTAGCGGGTCAATTCAACGCACTGATTTTTTAACCTTGACTTTATCCTTGGCTTACCAGCTGTTTATTGATTAAATTTACTAAACTGATTTTTACTAAGACCTCCGTTGTTCTTACCTAGACGTTTGATCTTACAGAACCCTTGATCCTTAACCGATTTACTAACCCTTGACTTAAACCAACCTCCTATCTTACCCGAGACCTTCGAACCCTTGATCTTACCGAGAAATCCCCTTTGATCTTACCTAGACACCCTTGATTTAGACCCCTTGATCTTCCCAGACCCCCTTGATCTTACCTAGACCCCTTGATCTTACCTAGACCCCCTTGATCTTACCTAGACCCCTTGATCTTACCTAGACCCCCTTGATCTTACCTAGACCCCCTTGATCTTACCTAGACCCCCTTGATCTTACCTAGACCCCCTTGATCTTACCTAGACCCCCTTGATCTTACCTAGACCCCCTTGATCTTACCTAGACCCCTTGATCTTTACCTAGACCCCCTTGAATTACCTAAAACCCCTTGATCTTACCTAGACCCCTTGATCTTACCTAGACCCCCTTGATCTTACCTAGACCCCTTGATCTTACCTAGACCCCCTTGATCTTACCTAGACCCCCTTGATCTTACCTAGACCCCCTTGATCTTACCTAGACCCCCTTGATCTTACCTAGACCTCCCTTGATCTTACCTAGACCCCCTTGATCTTACCTAGACCCCCTTTGATCTTACCTAGACCCCCTTGATCTTACCTAGACCCCCTTGATCTTACCTAGACCCCCTTGATCTTACCTAGACCCCCTTGATCTTACCTAGACCCCCTTGATCTTACCTAGACCCCTTGATCTTACCTAGACCCCCTTGATCTTACCTAGACCCCCTTGATCTTACCTAGACCCCCTTGATCTTACCTAGACCCCCTTGATCTTACCTAGACCCCCTTGATCTTACCTAGCCCCCCTTGATCTTACCTAGACCCCCTTCATCTTACCGAGACCCCTCTTCATCTTAACTAGACCCCCTTGATCGTATCTTTACCTCCCTCTCTCCAAGAGCCGCCACTGCTCTGCAAATTAGTAAGGCCTATACCTAGAGTATGCTACATATTTGTGGTGTATATATACACAACACTTTGTAGATCTACAATTATTTAGTTTCTACTATCAAAATAACTTATAGATTTAGGTGGTGTTACTTAGGATAGGGAAGGTATAAAACTGGAGAATCTGCTATATGCATTATGAATGCATATAGCAGGGGAGAGTAATCTCCCCTGAAGGCATAGATTACGTAGAACTGTGGGCCTTGGAACCCACCAACGACCTTCAGTAGCTGTCTGCAATCTGTTATTGCATGTGGTTTCCGTGGGGATGTTGGTGGGTTTCGGGCTTTGGGTAGTGGTTGTGGTGGGTGTTCTACGTTTTTTATGCCTTTGGCCAAACTGTACAAAGTTAAATATTGATTCATTGAGTTTACACAATTTCATTATTTTGGAAAATTTAAGCGGCGTTCAGGTTCCTACGAATATAGTATTAGCATTCAGAATTGCAGTTGGTTTGATAGTTTGTAAGTAGTGAGGTCTAACGCTTTTGGCAGCAGACGTTAATGATGGAAATGAAATCCTCTGTGCTCTGAAGTGATGAATATAGTTAGAGGGGGTGATTTTGATTGGTATTAGTGAGAATAGGATTAATGCTGCTCAGTTAGGAACCCAGAAAAATAGAGGTAGAGTGGAGGCTTGAATGTAGTGGTCGTCAGGTTGTGCCCAGGATGCCCGCCATAAGTGGCAGGTAAGGTAGGTTATGAATTCAGGCTAGCATAGTAGTGTGTTAGGAAACTGGTATACGGCAGGCCTCCAACTTGTTACATCCTCCCATAGTGTTGGTTGTTAACCTAGTGTGCCATGAGAGACATGGAAGTTTAGGGGAACCACAATGTTGTAATAATCATAACTACCTTCATGTTAAATTGGATGCCCTTCAAGGGGTATCTTTGTTCTAATTTACGTTACATGGTAATGTTTACCTGTGTGTGTAATGTTTCATGGTTATAATGTGAATGTTTTGTTTCAGGTGTGGTAACTGAGGAGTGCTGTGCCTGCTGCAACATTGATCAACACAGCAAAATGGACCAGTAAGGAGTGCTGTGCCAGTCTGCTGCAACATTAACCAGTCTGAGGGGTGAAGACAACCACTAGTAAATGGTCTGTTATATGGAGATGCAGCAGTTAGAGACGTCGTTAGAGGTGGGCAGGGCCCACTTGTAAGGTATTTCCAGGTTATAAGTCCACTAAAGTTTGGTTATTGAAGCAGATCAGTAATTGTATTAGGTGGGAGGATGGTGGGGAGAGTATAGGAAACATTGTAAGCAATTGATGTCAAAAGTAGCTTAGTGGGAGATATTAGCTTATCTCCCGACCAGAGATGAAATCTCTGGCCAGGAAATAATGAGGAATGTATTCTATAGGTTACTTTGAATGGGGTAGAAATAAAAATTAGAGAAATGGGTTGTAAAGCTTAGAATTTAAGACCGATTAGATTTTAAGAAGTTTTAGTTAGTGTAATATATTTATTATGCAGTCTAGACCCATCCTACAAGATTGTAGGAAGCAGAGATGAAATGTGTAAGTGATATATCATGGCTCAGTTGGTAGTGGCGTCAACTGAAGAACGGAGATTCGACCCCGGACACAAGTGGACATGTTCCCTTATATCCATTGGCACTGTTCCAAAAGAAAGGAGGAACGCTGCACAGGCCTACCCCCCTGACGGGCCTACTGGGGGGTCGCAACCGGGGAATAAAAAAGCTAAAAAATTCGGGGTGGTGGGTAAAGACTCATAGGCAGCGTTAGGCAATTTTATTCCGAAACGTTTCGCCTACAAATAGGCCCCTTCCATCGAGTACAGAAAGTAGGCAGAGCAGCAGGATGTGAAACGGGTAACAGTCTATACTCATAAAGTTTTAGATTTGAGGTTGTATTCCCTCAGCCTGGAAATTGATAGACTGACAAGCAAATCTATACTCAAGGTTTGATGGACGATTACATCGTCTTCACATTCGCTGCTCCGCCTACTTTCTATACTCGAGGGAAGGAGCCTATTTGGAAAACCCGAAATTTTTCGGAATAGTTACCTAATGTTGCCCAAGTGTCTTGCCTACCATCCTTTTCGGTACTGTAAAACCATTTTCGATAAAAATGTTTTGGGATATCACCCTGACTTAATTGTGAAATTTCTGTGCAATCTCCCGGGTTAAAATTTATTAGTTTTTTTTGTGGTGAGATAAGGGTAACGTCTTGATGGGGGTGAAAGGGGAAAGCCATTATTAAGACAAAGAAAGGAGCACTGAAGTAGCCTATTGGCCCATATTGGGCGGGTCCAACTGTCAACCATTTCATTTGTCTAACCTTGCTGTAAGCCCTTGGGGCTTAGCCTTTTTTTTTATTAAATTTGTAAAACCTTTTTTTTAAAACGACGCAACCAAAGTTTTAGTTTCACATGACGGGATGAATTTTTCCTTGGGCGGGATATTTTTATACCCGGGGAAAAAATAAATAACAGTTACAGAAATGGGGAATTAACCCATCTTTCCTTTTTTTCAGGCAGGTTTGTAGAGAGCCTGTCCAAGAAAGTTTATGGCTTAAAGCCCCCCGAAAATATCCGAGTTTGTATTAGGGTTTGGGGGAAAGGGGGGGGGTTTTTTTAAAACTGGGTTATACAGTATTTTTTAAGGGATTTTTGTAGATCCCCTTGTCTTACCTAGACCCCCCTTGACTTACTTAGACCTCCTTGATCTTCCCTAACCCCCCTTTGATCTTACCTAACCCCCTTGATTTTCCCTAGCCCCCCTTGATCTTACCTAAACCCCCTTACTTTTCCTAGACCCCTTGGGGCTTTACCAGCCCCCTTGATCTTCCCAGCCCCCCTTAAATTACCTAAACCCCTTGATCTTACAAGACTCCCCTTGTCTTCCCAAACCCCCCCCTTATCACCAACCCCCCTTGATATTACCTAGCCCCCCCTTGATCTTACCAAACCCCCCCTTGATCTTCCAGACCCCCTTGATCTTACCTAAAACCCCCCTTGATCTTATAGACCCCCCCTTGTCTTACCTAGACCCCCCTTGATCTTCCCTAGACTCCCTTGATCTCCCCTAGCCCCCTTGTCTTATAGACCCCTTGATCTCCCTAGACCGCCTTGATCTTACCTAGCCCCCCTTGACTTACCTAGACCCCTTGATCTTCCCTAGACCCCCTTGATCTTCCCTAGACCCCCTGATTTTACCTAACCCCCTTGTCTTACAAGACCCCCCCTTTGACTTCCCTAGCCCCCCTTGATCTTCCCTTGACCCCTTGATCTTACCAAACCCCCCCTTGATCTTACCTAACTCCTTAAATCCACCTAGACCCCTTGATCTTACATAGACCCCCTTGATCTTACCTAGACCCCCCTTGATCTTCCCTACCCCCCCTTGATCTTCCCTAGACCCCCTTGATTTTACCTAACCCCTTGATATTCCCTAGCCCCCTTTATCTTCCCTGCCCCCCCTTGACCCCCCTTGACTTACCAAACCCCCCTTGATCTTACCTAGCCCCCCTTGATCTTATTTAGCCCCCCTTGATCTTCCTAGCCCCCCTTGATCTTCCCTAGACCCCCATCTCTTCCCCAGACACCCCTTCATTTTTAACCCCCTTCATCTTACCTAGACACCCTTGATCGTACCTAGACACCCTTGATCGTCCTAACCCCCTTGTCTTCCCTAGCCCCCCTTGATTACCTTGACCCCCCTTGATCTTATCTAGACCCCTTGATCAACCTAGATCCCCTTCTTACAAACCCCTTGATCAAAAAACCCCGCCCCCCCTTTGATCTTAACCAACCCCCCTTGATCTTCCCTAGATTTCCCCATCTTCCTGCCCCCCTTGATCGTACAGCCCCCCTTGATCTTACCTAGACCCCTTGATCTTCCCCTGACCCCCCTTGATCTTATCTAGACCCTATCTTCCCCCTAGACCCCTGATCTTCAAAACCCCTTTTTATCTTACCTAGACCCCGTTGTTTTACCTAGCCCCCTTGATCTTGCCTAGACTTCCCTTCATTTTCCCTAGACCCCCTTGATCTTACCGAACCCCCCTTTGATTTACCGAGACCTCCCTTGATCTTACCGAGACCCCCCTTGATCTTACCGAGACCTCCCTTGATCTTACCGAACCCCCCTTGATCTTACCGAACCCCCCTTGACTTACCAGACCTCCCGTCTTACCGAGCCCCCCCCTTGACTTCCCGAGACCCCTTGATTTACCTAACCCCTTTGATTTTACCAAACCCCTCCTTGGCCCTAACCTAACCCCCTTATCTTAGCCCCTCTTGATTTTTACCTAACCCCCATGACTTACCTAACCCCCTTTGATTTACCTAGACCCCCTTGATCTACCTAACCCCCTTTGATCTTACCTAGCCCCCCCTTGATCTTACCTAGCCCCCTTCATTTTACCGAACCCCTCTTCATTTTTAACTGCCCCCCCTTAAAACGTATCTTTACCTCCCTCTCTCCAAAGGCCACTGCTCTACAAAAAGTAAGGGCCTATCCCAGAGTATGCTACATATTTTGGTGTTATAACACAACACTTTTTAGATCCAAAATTTATTTGTTTCTACATCAAAATAATTTAAGATTTAGGGGTTACTTAGGATAGGGAAAGGGTAAAAACTGGAGAATCCTATATGCATTATGAATGCATTACAGGGGAGAGTAATCTCCCTGAAGGCATAGATACGTAAACGGGGCCTTGGAACCCACCAACGACCTTCATACTGCTGAAATCGTTTTTGCACAGGGTTTCCGTGGGTTTTGGGGGTTTTTCGGGCTTTGGGGTTGGGGTTGGGGTGGGTGTTCTACTTTTTTATGTTTTTGGGCCAAACGTACAAAGTTAAATATTGATTTTTTTGGGTTTACACAATTTCATTATTTTGGAAATTTAAGGGGCGTTCGGGGTTTCCTATGAAAAAGTATTATGAATTCAGAATTGCATTTGGTTTTTGATGGTTTGTAAGTAGTGAAGTCAACGCTTTTGGGGCAGCAGAGTTAATGATGGAAATGAAACCTCTGTGCTCTAAAAGTGAGAAATAGTTAGAGGGTGATTTTATTGTATTAGTGAAAATAGGTTTATTAACGTTTGCTCGTTAGGAACCCAAAAAATAGAGGTAGAGTGGAGGCTTAAATGTAGTGGTCGTCAGGTTGTCCCCAGGATGCCCGCCATAAGTGGCAGGTAAGGTGGGTTTATGAATTCAGGCTAGCATAGTAGTTGTTGGGAAACTGGTATACGGCAGGCCTCCAACTTTTTTTAACCATCCTCCCAAGTTTTGGGTTTTGTTAACCTAGTGTGCTATGAGAGACATAGAAGTTTAGGAAACCACAATTTTTGTAATAATCATAACTACCTTCATGTAAATTGGATGCCCTTAAAGGGTAATCTTTGTTCTAATTTACGTTACATGGTAATGTTTACCTGTGTGTGTAATTTTTATGGTTATAATGTGAATGTTTTGTTTCAGGTGTGGTAACTGAGGAGTGCTGTGCCCTGCTGCAAACTTTTGATCAACACAGAAAAAATGGACCAGTCTAAGGAGTGCTGTGCCAGTCTGTTTGCAACATTAACCAGTCTGAGGGTGAAGACAACCACTAGTATATGGTCTTTTATATGGAGATGCAGCAGTTAGAGACGTCGTTAGAGGTGGGCAGGGCCCATTTGTAAGGTATTTCCAGTTATAAGTCCACTAAAGTTTGGTTATTGAAAGCAGATAGTAATTGAAATTAGGTGGGAGGGTGGTGGGGAGAGTTAGGAAACATTGTAAGCAATTGATGTCAAAAGTAGCTTAGTGGGAGATATTAGCTTATCCCCCCAAACCAGAGAAGAAATCTCGGGCCCAGGAAATAATGAGGAATGTATTTCTATAGGTTACTTTGAACGGGGTAGAAATAAAAATTAGAGAAGGGGTTGTAAAGCTTAGAATTCAAGACCGTTTAAAGATTTTAAGAAGTTTTAGTTAGTGTAATATATTTTTTAAAGCAGTCTAGACCCATCCTACAAGATTGTAGGAAGCAGAGATGAAATGTGTAAGTGATATATCATGGCTCAGTTGGTAGTGGCGTCAACTGAAGAACGGAGATTCGACCCCGGACACAAGTGGACATGTTCCCTTATATCCATTGGAAACTGTTCACATAAGAAAGGAGGAACGCTGC